TGACGACCGCATCATCGCTGAGCTCAGCAGGCAGATACAGGAAGCCATGAGGGACAGGAAGCTCTGACGGCCAATCAGAGGGAGACGGCCGCCGCACCGACCAATCAGACAAGGACGTTTAACCTGAGGCCCGTGGAGAGGAACTGAGCCTGATTCAGCTCCGTTGAGTTAACGTTACACAGAAATAAAACTTTAACTTGTAGTTTTTACAGCGTCTGAAGCTGCTCTGCTCTTTCTGATCAGCTGGGATCAATATTCAGCTGATCAGAACCAGAGCTCTGGTGTTGAAGGTTTGATTCTCGTCGACAAACAGCAGGTGAAGGTTTTTTATGTAAATGAATGAAAATCTTCCAGAAAAACCCTTCAGTTCACTAGAACAAGTCAAACTGTTTTTATTAACGGATCCAAACAAACAGGTCAGAAAATCATTTTTCTGCTAAAGCGTTTTAAGTTCTGAACCAACCTGACGTTCAGCTGTTACACAAACATTTATATTAAAATCATAAATTATTTTACACCTTCAGATCCTTTGAAGTGTTTCTGCAGGTTGTTTGATCGATTATAAAATGTAACATTTCTCAGATCATGTGACGTTAATGTGATGAGCAGAAACATCCGACTCGACATGCGAAGCGTTTTTACTGCAGTAATCGATGTTTTCTGTCCCTGATGGAGGAGTTGGTGCCTGACAGCAGGGGGCGCTGCAGCCTCGTGATTTAATTTATTGTTTTGTCTTTTTCTTTGGAATAAATTATTTTTGCATTAATGATGGCAGCTGGATTTTTTTTCTTTACAGAGAATCTCTTATAATTAGTTTCACAGGTTTATTCCACCAAAAAAGTTAAATTTGTATATTTTATATTTAATGTTAATAGTTAAATTTTTGGGCTGCACAGTGGCGCAGTTGGTAGAGCTGTTGCCGTGCAGCAAGAAGGTTCTGGGTTAAATTCCCAGCCTGGTCTTTCTGCATGGAGTTTGCATGTTCTCCCTGTGCATGCGTGGGTTTTCTCCGGGTACTCCGGTTTCCTCCCACAGTCCAAAAAACATGACTGTTAGGTTAATTGGTCTGTCTAAATTGCCCCTAGGTGTGTGTGTGTGTGTGCGCATGGTTGTGTCTCTGTGTTGCCCTGCGACAGACTGGCGACCTGTCCAGGATGTACCCCGCCTCTCGCCCGGAACGTTAGCTGGAGAGGCACCAGCACCCCTCCCGACCCCACTGAGGGACAAGGGTGTTCAGAAAATGGATGGATAGTTAAATTTTTAGCCTGAGGTAAGAATAACTTTAGTTTCTGTCTAAACGTCCTGCATTAAACTAAAACACAGATGCTCATTCAATAAATTCAGATATTTGAGTTGATGAACAAAACTTTTCAACCTTAGTCTGAATATTTTATCAATATTATTGATCAAGTGTGACTTTGAAACTGATCACAAATGTTTTTGAATCTTCAAAGTTGTATAATCAAAATCAAAATACATGCACGTAATTTACTTTTTCTACAATTATACTTTGATAAAAGTTGCCTTTTAAAATGATTACTCATTTTCTTTCCTTAAGTGCTGAATGTCGCTAAAAAGCTTCAAACCCAGAATTATAAATAATTATAATAATTCTGGTTGTCCTGATACATCAGACATTTGTCTGCCTGAATTAAATTTTTTGCACAATCCTGAGGGTTCAGATTATTTACGGATTTTAAGTTTTGATCCGTCCCACATGTAGTTCACACTTCCACCACTAGGTTACATACAAACATCCAGTTTACGTTAAAGTCCAGTTTTGTTCTGAAGTTCTGAGGCGTTTATGGATCAGAAGATACAGCAAACATATTTATCTCAACATATTTATCTTAAATACATATCCAACACGTTAAATATAAAAAAATAAACTCATAATTTGCGGTTTGACAGATTTTCTTCCACTTTGCTTCTCCTTCAATGTGTTTCCAATTAGACCTGAGAGAAGAAAAACTCTCCTTAAGTTCATGACTAATTGGATCTGAAAGTGTGAGCCGTCTGCTAAATATCCAGCAGGAAGCTCCACCCAAAGCAAACCATTAAAACCATTAAACCCATTAAAACCATTAAACTGCTGGTTTCCAGTTTCTTCTGGGTTTCTGCTCATTGTTGCTGCTTATAGAGCAGAACTGAGACAAATATTATTCTGGACTTTAGTTTTGTCACATTAAACAACAAACTCCAATGTTACAAACGTTTCTGGAGTAAAATTAGATTTAAAAAGAATCCTTAAAAATCTGAAAAGTGTGGCATGATGTAAACATAAATTGTTTCCATATTTTTACACCTTAGATGTGACAAATATTCTGTTAGTGAGAATAAAATTTAAATAAAAGCCAATTTTAAAAAGCAACAATTAACTGAATATCCACAGCCTGAAATTAAAACTTTTATTTTAGTGACTTGATTGAACCAAATCTACCGAATCTTCTCTCGTCTTCATGTCTAACAATCATTTTTTCCTGACATCTGGTTATTTTTCCATCTCATCAAAGCGAGTTAGTATTTTTAAAATCAGTTCTGTGGAACTTTAACTGTAATTTATGTCAATTAATGACAGATTTTAATGCAATTAATTGCTTTTTTATTTTACAGCTACTCATTTCTGATGCGCTCATAAATCTAACATCAGTGATTTAAAGCTGCTTCTCGGGTTTGTTCTGCTGGAGAACAATCTGATGGGTCTGGAAAGGACCAGCATGTTCAGGTTGTGCTAAAAGCAGTTAGCTTATCAGTGTAGCTAGCATCTTGATGCTAACCACATAGCAGCAGCACAGACGCTACGCTAATGTTAGCGTCTACAGGCCACATGCCTGAAGAAGCTCCTGAAACTCTGGAGAACTGAACTTCACTCCCGTCTGACGGTTGAAGAAGCTAAATAACAGATTAATAACAGTAAATATTTTTGTTGTTGAGCTAAAATGTTTAATAACTTGGCAGCAAAAATGGCTTTTGAATTGAAAATGAGATTGTTTGATTAAACTGATTAATTACAGTGAACTCAAACATGGCCGCCGATCCTCAGTTACCTACCTGCAGCAGGAAGGAGGCGTCAACCAGCTGCTGCTTCACCAGAATCCATGTCGTCGTTTCACTTTCTGAGGTTTAAAATCCAGACGGATTCTGGAGCAGCTTCCCTCAGAGGATCCACCGGTACCGCTCAAGCCTTCACCGAGTCCGGTTCTGATGGGATGTGATCATATTTACACCTCAACTTTAATCTAAACCAGGGAGTCCAAAGGGTGGTCCAGGGGCCAAAGGTGGTCCATGAAATATCTTAGTTCGGCCTCCGACCAAAAGTAAAAACCTGGACAACAAACTGAAAACTGTCGACCCGATAAAGGAAGGAAACAGTTTGAAACCCTTTTTATACTGTGGATATTTAATGATTTAAAGATTTTATAAAGATGTCATTGATGAAATTAAACTCACCTTTAGGACTTTTAGGTCCATACTAAGAAAACGTGTTAAAAATAAAATCAACAGAATAAGGTTGAAATATAAGAAAGAGTTGATGACTGACCTCATGCTACGACTTTATTCTTGAAATGTAATTTTTTTCTGTGATTTTAAAACTCCGTCATGTTTGTATTTTAATGTGTTTTGTCGTTTTTCCCCCAGATTGATGTTAAATATTGTAAATCTGAGTACTGATGTTGTTTTAAAGCCTTTGCTGAGTGACGATCAGCAGTCGGAGCAGATCTGCAGCATCCAGCAGGAAAAGCCTTCGCTCCATGTGAGCTCAGACTTTTCTTCCTTTGTGTTTTTTCTTCCTCGTCCGTCAGCAGCTTCTCGGTTTGTTTTCCTTCTAGCTGCTGCTAATTAAAACTATCACTGCTGTAATCTCATTACATGAAACCCGATCCGGCTCGTCAGAGCCTGGAGGAAAACGTCCTGAAACGGGTCGGTGTGACGGTTTGTTTGGGCTGCGGGTCCAGATCCGGTTCTCACAGGGAAAAAGCGGCCATGATGGATGAACCGACGCGCCGGCCGTGTTTGTTCTGGGGATTTTTCTGGAATCCTCGCAGGAATAATCTGCAGATTGAGACGGGAAGAGAGAAATGCAGACGGAGGGAAGGAGGCGCCGCGGCGAAGAACGACTGGGATTAAATGAGCTTTAAACCGCAGAAATAAAAACATCAGTAAACGATTCATTTGGTCATCAATAACGATTAACATTAGTAAATAACATTTACTTAAACATTAATATCTCCTTTTCCATCCTGGTCATTTTTTAATGCACATTAAGTTTTATTTATTTTTTAACAAATTTTTGCTGCGTTGATATAAATTCCTGGCTGACATTTTTTTTTCAAAGTTTTTATTTTTTTAGACTTTCATACATTTTTAAAACAAAAAAAATAAATAAAATCCCTTCTGTTTTTGTACCATTAATTTAAAATGCAGCTTAAATGAATCTGTTTTCATGTCATGAAAATCACTGAATTTCCATATAAACATATGAAATATTGAACAAGATAAAACAAATAATTATCATTTGTAAATGTAAAATATAATTATAAATATTTCTGTTTTCTTACAAACCTCCAGACTTTAATCCTTAAAACTGGCATTAAAGAGTTAAATTCAAGGTTTTTATAGTTTTTTTTTTAAATAAATGTACAGATGGTGTTCATTTTATCGATAATTTTATTATAAGCTTTAAAACATTTTTGTGTCCAAGTTACATCTTCATTGGAACAGAAATAAAAATGTAAACATTAAACTAAATAAATGCCTCACTGCTTTCTGTGTTTTCAAATAAATAAACGTTGATAAATTTTTCATTTTCAGGGTAAAAATGGCAAAAAATTTAAACTTAAAATATATAACATATCACTTGTAATCTAGAAAACAGCTTTTTTGCATCTAAGAGACTCGAATGAAAATATTTTAAATGGAAATTATAATAAAACAGTTTGGTGGAATTAGTTTGTCATCTTTTTAATTTCTGTTTTTAACATTTATGAAACTGGGAAATTTCAACATAAACATTTTATTCTTGCTTTTTTCTGTGGATCTGGTCATTTAGGCTCAGAAACTCTTTATGGTGAAAATGTAAAAATAAAACAGAAGGAAAAAATCAGAAAGTTGCAGATCAGAATCAAAAGGATGTCAGTTTTATTTCCAGCGGATCAAAGTCATTTTGATTTATGTTTGTTAAAAAACAAAACCAGAAGAGAGAAACTCATGCAGAGATCCGACCAACGGCAGGAAGCAGAACCTGAACTCAGCCTGGATCTTTGGTTCGTATTAAACATGGAAAGTTTTAGAAATCACAGATCAAACTGACTTCAGATCCTCTGGATCCAAACAGGAAGTGGATCCAAACAGGAAGTGGATCTGATGCATCATATAAAACCTGTACACATCCAGCATCGGCTCAGTCTGCGCCGTGAAAACAGAGATGCTTCACTCAGGAGGGAGGAGTTCCTCAGGACTCAGAGTCCGGATTTAAATCAGCCGGGTTCTGAAGAGGGAACCGCTCCAGTGGGCGGATCCAGTAGAATCAACATTTTAATAAAACGCTGAGTTGTCTCCCTCATTTCAGTCTTTTATTCTGAAATGCCCAGAACCTGTCAGTGACGTTGATGACGAGTCGCCATGTCGTCAAATCAAAGTGTTTTATTATTAAAGTGAAACATGTCGCCAGCTCCCCTCCTCAGTGAAACATCCCTCTGTGCTGATTTTCGGTGTTTCTTTGGATCGGAGCCGATTTAAAGCTTTTTAACTCTCAGGCACGACGACTGTTTTAATACAAACCGGATCTTCATCATTATTTACACGTCTGAGGCTTCGGTGCATCAAATAAACTCTTTGAGAGAAGAAGGAAGGAGAGTTTAAAACATTCAGAGTCGAGTTTCCTTCAAAGATTTAGAAAACAGGAAACAGGAAGTAGAAACGTCTGAATGTGAAGATGATTGAAGTCATGCTTCATATTAACTCTGGGATCATTTCTATAAGAAATCCCTCTGTACATCTATCAACATTACAGCTGCAAATATTAACTTAACGTTCCAAAATAAAAAGTGCTTGCAGCACGATATGAGCCGGAAGATAAATAGAATATGTTTTTCTCTTTCTGGTTCTGCAGTCGCTGCTGTGGGTTTGGGCCGTAAACGGGTCGGTGAGCCTCTCTGTCCGTCACCTGGAGGTGAAGCTGCAGGAAGACAATCAGTCGCTTTGTTTGGCTTTTCAGAAGGTTTTCTTTGGAACAAAGCATGGTGGTTTTCCCAGACGTCTCCAGTAAATATCCGTGTCCAGAACGCTCCGACGCTCCGATCTTTGGTTTGGTGGTTTTCACTCCGTTTCTCTGAACCCGGATCTGTTTCTGCACGAGTCCGGCAGCAGAACCAGAGCAGAGGATCGGCTGATTTCTGCCGCGATTTTAGATTTCTGTAAACAGGATGAACGTCGGTGGAGTCCGGGAACGCCGCGGCGGGAAGAGAGGAGGGCAGACGTCTGGACGGGTCAGACTCTGAGGTGTGGACGGATGGATGGACGGTGAGGCGGCGGCCAGCCGGAGGTCAGAGGTTAATCCACCTCGATGGACTCGCTGCTCTCGTTGACCGGTTTGCACTCGTTGGGGAGTCGCTGGTGGCGGCTGAGCTGCGTCGCCTGCGTGAAGCTGCGGTCGCAGCGCTCACACCTGATGGACAAACCGACACAAAGAGGAACGACAGCAAAACTTTAACTCTCAAACTTCTTATTAAATCAGATTTTAAATTGGAAACAGCAATAATAATCACTGATGTAAAACTAAACAAGCTAATAAAATCATTTAGAAGAGCAGAAATAAAACATTCAGCTTTGATTAATTAATCAGCATTAATGACTCTGCTGATCCAGACTCACTTTGGACCAATCAGAGCCTCTTTATGCTTCCAGGTCAGAATAAAAAAACTGGCCAGAAAAAATGAACAGAAAAACATTTAAAAATAAATCTGACAAAGTCTGAAGGAAAATGTTAAAAATACGTCCAGAAAGTCTGGAAACGACTGATAAACAGAACCGGATTATTGGTTGTCATGTAAACAGAGATAAAGCTGCAATGAATATAATCAACTCAATTTAAAATACTTTATTTATCTAAAGAAAAATTAAAAGTAACTCATTTCATCCAAACATTATCAGAGAGTCGCTGTGGATGGAAGAATCTCCTGTAGCAGTCTGTATCGCAACAAATCGTGAGAAGCCTCTGACTGACGGCTGTTAGCATGCTAACAGCTGGATAGACGACCAAGCGCTGCTGATCTCCTCCTTATGGTCTGTTTGGCCGCACGGTTAGAGATGTTGGGAACCGATGGATAAAGAAACGGGTTGAACTTCGCCAGCATCCAGAACCAAAAGTGATTCAACTCAAAAGATCAAAACATCATGAACAAAACGATCAAATGACAACCAACAGAGCTGCTGCTGCCATTTTGTATGAGATGTCATGAAAACATCTCTAATGTTCACATGATGTCTGAGAGCCATAACTGCTGCTAGCTTAATCCACCTTATAAAGACATATTCTTCTGAATCTCAGAGCAGCAGATGCTAACACCGGACACTAAAGACATTACCCCAAAGGTTAAAGGTCACAGAGTGATGGAAGAACAGATGAGAAAGAGAAGACAGGCAGATGTCACACCTGATGTCGTCATCACAGGATTTCCTAGGATCCTGCAGCCGAGCAAAATCTGAAACCTGCAAAAATCTGAAAATGTGAAGCTTTGACTGGAAGTAAAAGGTTAAAACATTAAGAAGTTTGTTTATAAGGAGGGTCTGCTAAACTGCAGATATACAACCTTTAGTTTTGCTAACACATGCAAACACACACCAACACACACACACACACACACACACACACACACCTCCAGGTTAACTCTAATGTCCAGCGACAGAACAAAGTGTGTGTGAGGCCCAGCAGAGCAGCAACTGTAATTGTTGCCCTGATCTTCGCAACCTGACCGACAAATTACACTCACACTCCACCTGTCAATAATCTATCTAGTGGGCCGTGGAGGGCATTCCCGTCTCACACACTTTAACACACTCTGACACACACACACACACACTTGCAGATAAATCCCGGCCTGATAAGGCAGCATCACTGTCACTTCCAATAGCAGCAGAGAAGAGAAGGAGCTTTTAGTCTGAGCTGGAGGGGCGGCGGGAGCATTTAAATGGATATCAAGGTGTGTGTGTGTGTGTGTGTGTGTGTGTGTGTGTGTGTGTGTGTGTGTGTGTAGGTTCAAAGAGAACGCTGAGCAGAAATATTGGACCTAACGGGGCAGAAACAGGACTAACATGCTGTTAGATGGACAGGAGGAAGAGGAGGAGGAGGTGATGAAGAGCAGAGCTCAGCTTCAGGGACAATCCTCCAAAAATCCTCAAATGTTTGATTCATGTGTTTCAGTCCGAGTTACTGCTTAGAAACATCCAACCGTCCGTCCGTCTGTCCACCAGGAGGCCTGCAGTGAGTTCACACCAGCAAATCGCTCTGCAGACTAAAACTGGACTTTATTTTCTTCGTTTGTTGCAGTTTCCCTTCACATTGGGTTTTTTCAAACGGACTATGACAAAGCCAGGTGGGTGACAATCTTTGCTCCCATTGGACAGGAATGATGTGGGCGAGTCCAAACACAGAACCATGGAGGAACAAACATGGAGGAACAAACATGGAGGAACAAACATGGAGGAACCAAACATGGAGGAACAAACATGGAGGAACAAACATGGAGGTCCTGCTTGAACACTGAAGGCTCACATGCTGCTCAGCTACGGTGGCCTGTGAAGTCCAGAAAGATGCTGATTTCATGTAGTTGGTTCAGATTGAGGCTCGTCTGTATTCACACCAGAACCGGACCGAGACCAGCTCAGAAATGGTTCTGGATGCGGTACTTTGAGTGGAGAAAAGGTCCAGACTGTGGACCACGGCTGGGCTGTCCTGGTCCTGGAGGGCCGAGTCCTGCAGCTCTTAGACGTCTCCCTGGTCCAACACACCTGGATCCAACAGCTGAATCTCCTCCTCAGTGCAGTCAGGTTCTGCTAACGACCTCATATTTGACTCAGGTGTGTTGAAGTAGAGACACATCTAAAAGTGGCAGGAGGCCTCCAGGCCTGGAGCTGCCCACTGCTGCTCTGGACCAAACGGGTGAACAAACCGTCAAGGATCGAGGTTTTCACTTCAGCTGTTTTCAGACATATTTCATAATAATCAGTTCATCTGTTTATCACTTTCTCTGCCTGACAGGTTAAACTTCTGGACCGAGGTTCTTCTGGACCGAGGTTCTTCTGGACCGAGGTTCTTCTGGACCGAGGTTCTGTGCAGGACGTATCGACTACAGAGAATATTGTGTTGATGGCTATAAACAGCTGAACTGGTTAAATAAAGTAGAACTGAGAGTTTAAACACACCTGGTTCTGATCTCTAATCATTTCTACCTTCGTCTCTAACTGAACTCGCCTTACGGTGTTTGCTGCTGCGCTTATTTGTCTGATTTTATCACCGTCTGTCGCTGCTGCTTTGATCCAGCAGGACGAACATGAAGTCGGTTCTGCAGAACAAAGCGGGTCTGAAAGCAGGCGGCTCGTCTGCAGCCCATCGACCGGCTGCTGCTGAGCAGCAGGGAAAAATAATGTTGAGAAGTTTGTCCTGACAACCTGACAGAGGAGCTTTAATCAGTTTCCCTTAAGGATCAGTGGAGTTTAAGATCTCCTCTTATCTTAATCTGCGCTGTGCAGCAGGTAGAAAATGAGACAAACCGCTTCCGATTGTGTTCATTTACAGCCTGATGGAAACTGACCGCCTGCTGGGACAGACACAGGGGAGGATGAAGCCTCTGCAGCACAGGGAGAAATTCAGCTTTTACCCACAGAATCCATAGAACTCTACCAAAACCCCACTGGTCCATTTAAATACCAATATGAATGAAAACCAGGTTATTGTTCTTGGTGTCGGTTCTGTTTCCTAACCTGGCAGCTAAGCTGCTGATTTGACTGAATCTGTTTAATGTGAGGAAATGAAACAGATGTTTAGGGACATACAACCGTTTCATTGTCTTTGATCAATGTGTTGCTTTGTGGCGTCTCAGTCTGAATAGAGCAAGTATGTTGGGATACAGACTGTAGAAATCAGCGTCTCATTTCATGTCAGTTTTTATATCTCCAGGATCTGCTGACCATCTGGACTGGAGGCTGGTTCCCTGTTCAGTCCGCTTCAGTCCAATGAGTTCTTTTGTTGATGTGTGAACGCTAATCGGACTCTGGTCCGCCTCCAAGCCTCGGTCTGGGTTCTGTTGAAGTGAACTCTGGTTCGGTTTCAATGCATATGTGAACACCAAGCGGACCAGAGACCTCTCCAAACGCAGGAAGTGGACTACAGCGCAGTGCATTCTGGGTAAATACAACCAAAACAAACAAGCTAGCTTAGCGCTAGCAGGAGTTTTTTTTTTTTTTTTTTAACCAAAGACTACAGAGAAATCCTACAGCAGCTAAAATCTGACGCCACTTCCTTTTATTTACATTTAGTGAAGAAGGAAGCTGCGCTCAG